ATATATATATATATATATATGTATATAAATAATGCAGAATGAAAGAAAACATGTTAAACTTTATGGTACCCAAGTCGATTTTTTTATGTAATTTGCAAAATCCAGCTAAGCTCCTTTTGATGGTATTCTCCACGGATGAGCCTTTCCCTATGAACAATGAGAATAATATGCAGGACTGTAGCTGGGACTGTCAGTGATCCCTCTTCTGGCAAGCTGGGATGTTATTTGCTACAGTCAAGGAGGACTGTTGTGTATGTTTCAGTATATAAACTACATTATTTTCCATTGCCTGTATGAAGTAATGAAACCTGAGTGTAACTGTTCTTGTCTGCTCTCAGGAGAGAAGTGCAGAGAGTCATTCTGCTTGGATTAAGTTACTGTTGGCGTTCATTTGACTCAAAAAGCATGTGACTAAAAATAATCCACCAGTAAGTCATAAGCAGATAAAGATCGTCAAGGAAAACATGAGATGAATGCATAAGCAACCATTGCTGACTTCTTGCTATTTCCCTGGCTGCCTATGGGTTTCGATAGTTTTTGAGCAACAGAGTCAAGACAAGTAGGCAAAATGGTGATATCACAGCCAAGTCCTAATTAATTTTGTGTGTACTTGTTCTGGGTCAGTGACTCAAAAAGAATTGATACCACTGGGAGATGACAGCCAGGCAAGGAGCATTTAATGAAGGTGCTGAGCAATGGCAGCTTACATATTGCTGTCTGTACAGGTTGTCACTAATGGTGCTTGTTCTTTCTGACATTTTTTTACAGTTTGCTGCAGCCATTGCAAGGATCAGTATATCCTAATCTGATATATGAAGTGAAATAGGTTCACTGACCCGCAAGGGTCAGTCTATCCTAATCTGATATATGAAGTGAAACAGGTTCACTGACCGGCAAGGGTCAGTCTATCCTAATCTGATACATGAAGTGAAATAGGTTCACTGACCCGCAAGGGTCAGTCTATCCTAATCTGATATATGAAGTGAAATAGGTTCACTGACCCGCAAGGGTCAGTCTATCCTAATCTGATATATGAAGTGAAACAGGTTCACCGACTGGCAAGGGTCAGCCCATCCTAATCTTATATATGAAACAGGTTCACTGACCTGCAAGGGTCAGTCTATCCTAATCTGATATATGCAGGATCACTTTAATGACAGCTCATACATGGCTTCCCACGACACTTCTGCTGCTTTGTTTGGTCAAAAGGAGCAAGGAGAAGATGCCCTGTGTAAGCTCTCACTCAGAGCTTACACAGAGCTAAAGACTTTCTCCATGTCCTCATGTGAAAATGCTGTGTGCCTGAGCAGTCAAGTATCAGTACTGTCACACAGGAGGAAGAGAAGTGAGTCACATGCTCCTCTATACCTGTAGAACCAGGCATTTTCTTTTATTTGCTCCTAGCAGATTTGCTTTAAATCAGGTGGTCAAGAACAGAGTCAGAATCATGGCTGGAAGATCTCACTTTTGGCGTTTCTAAGACATATTATGAGCTAGGGGCTGGATTTGTCTACCAGGTTCCATCTAAATATAATTTTTGGGTGGATTGACCCTTTAAGCCTCAGGTTTTTATACTATATGGAACTATAGCATATTACAGTGTGGATGAACAGTTCCTGAATTTAATCAAGGTTATGGACATAATACATCATAATACAGAGAACACAAACTAGGTTTTGTGTAGTGATACTGAATCATGCACTAGTTAGTAATACATGTGAATACTTATTTATTGTGTAGACTTTGTACAGCTGTGTACAGTATGCGTGTTTTTGTGTAAATTTACTTGTGCTGTTAGAAATTAGTTTTAAATCAATAAATACTTTTATGATTCCTTGTTATAGTAATGTGTTTCAGTGCCAAAGTTGAATGTGTGAAATAGTGATATAAAACAAAATTGGTATATGTGGTAAAGTAGAACATCAAAAAGCAGGGTAACACTATGTAGTAGGCCACCCCCTCCCATGTAAAAATGTTAAGGAAAAAAAAAAAAAAAAAAAGACATTGGAAGAATAACAAATAAGTATGGATTTATATTGATAGGTGTTCTTGTCAAACGATGCACTTTCCATTTGAATGCATGCAACTGCGTGTGAATGGAAAACACAAAGCTTGACAAGAGAAGACCGCATTAGATCTGCTTTAACTGTAGTTCAAATGCACCTCAATAGGACGTTTCATCCAAACAAATGCAGTGCAAAGCACAGCATGTCAAATGCAGCCTTTGAACTTTCATGTGTACTTCTCTGTTAAATTCAGTGGGATTTTTTGACCTGTGTTTGATGTAAGTTTCAAACAAATGCAGGAAAACAACTCCCTTCGACTCGAGCCTTTTCTTACCTTACACCCGGGTTTCTGGCTTCCTTGCCCAGGCGAGGGTAATGTTACTCAGACTTCCTGTGGGATCTTGGGATAGCTGAAGATCCCAAACTTTGGAAAAAATGCTCATCAGGACAATGTAGCAGCAAATCTTCACAAGATGTGGAATCTTCAGCTTTCCTGGGATCCCTCAATCCGACATCTGGCCTTGGTGAGGTTACCAGATGTTAGGGTCTAAGGCAAGTAGCTTTTCCATTTTTCTCCCTGTGTCTTATTTTTCTAGTGTTTTTTAAATGGGTGCCTCTGCTAAATACCAATCCCCTGCATTTTGTTGCAAGGTCCATCTAAAATATTGGCTAAACTTCTAGAGGAACGCATTGGAATTATTGCTTAGTATTTTAGTGATTTTTGATATAGGTAAAATATGTACAGTTTTATATTCACAATACAAATTACTTCAAGGTAAACATTACAATAATAACATAATATCTGTACATTAAAAAAATACTGTACTTCTCCAATGGGTTTTTGAAGCTGGATACACCAATCACAGCTGCACACCATGAAGTCAATGAGCATTGTAGAAATGAGGTGGTGCAGCAACAGAACTGTCCAATATCCAGTACATATATGCATTACACAGTCCTGTTTGGGATTTTAATTCACTTGTCCCGCAGGTCATGCTTTGGATCTGCGCTCTCTGGAGGAGCTGAGCAAGCTTAGAAATTTCCACATACTTTTGGGTGTATCAGATGCCTGGTTCCTCACTGCATTTTGTGGTTCCTCATCCCTCCCACTATGTCGCTACTCTGTCCTATAGTGACATATTGGTTGGTGGGTGCAACCACAATGCACAATGGGGAACCATGAACATGACACACCCAGAAGCGTATGATATGCTAA